TGATGTTAGTGCTGATGGAAAACAATTTTAAACAAATATTCTCTGACATATTCACAGGCCATATATAGCATGTAAAATCCCACACTAAAGCATTTACCTAAGTTTAACCTGCATTTCCTTAATTCATTTGACCACAGAAACATTTTCCCCCACACCACATATGAATTATGGACATCAGTTCTACAATGGAGAATTTGGAAAACACTCAGTCACTTACCTTCTTTTATACAAACACAAGAAGATTGTTTTTATAGTAGTACATGTAGAGAGTTGTATGTGCTTAAGAGTAACATGGAACATTTAATTTTCTCAAGGTCAAGAGTCCCTGCTTTTGCTATTGGGTAGGGGTGTGTGGCATTCTAAATTCATCTTCTCATAGAAATAAACTATAACATTTAGGTATAACCAGTAATGAATAATAGAACCACAGAACTGTGAAACAAGTTAGCACTCACATCTTACAAAAAGGGTAACTGAGGCTCCAAAGAAAGGCACTGCCACTCCTTGGTTTTCCACCTACATCACTGATCACTTCTTAGTTTTCCTTGTCCATTTCTTCTCATCCCCCTAATTTATCATCAGATTCCTTGTAGCTGAGTTTATAAGTCCTGCCTTTTATCTAGCTCTACTGTATCCCCTGAGGATCTCATACAGTTCCATTTCATTTTTAATTTAATTTTTTATTTGGGGGCAATTATAGATTTATACAGGTGTAAGAAACAAAGCAGAGAAATCTCATGAACTCTACTCAGTTTTCCCAGTGATAACATCTTGCAAAACTATAGTTCAATATCACAGCCAGGATACTGACAGTGATATAATACACTGACCTTTACAAGATCTCCACAGTTTTACTTTTATTCTCTCGTGACATTTTGAAATAATACTAATGATTTTTTTTTTTTTTTTGCAGTACCGGGGATCAAACTCAGGACCTTGTGCTTGCCAGGCAGGTGCAGTGCCACTGAGCTACATTCCTAACAGTATTAATGATTCTTACAGCACAGAAAACTTCCCTAAATTCACACAAGGGAGTGACTATAACATCTCTACTTAGCTATGTAATAGGTATCTCAAATTAAAACATCCCAAATCAAAGTCCTCATCTTTACCACAAACCTATCCTCTCAAAGTCTTGTCTATTTCAGTTATTATCAATGCCATCTTTCCAGTTCCTTAGACCATTAACTGTGGAGTCATCCTCAACATTCTCATATCTCACATCCAAAATGCCAACAAATTCAAAATATAACCAAAATAAAATCACTTACCACCTACATTGATAGCATCTTAGGCCAAACCCCCATCATCTCCTCCTACTTGATTACAAGAGCCCCTAATCTCCCTGACTCTGTCTTGGTCTCCTGCAACTATTCTTAAGAAAGCAGCTAAATAAATATACCTGCTATAATAGGTTTTGTTTACTTAGGTTCTATATTTTTATTTAGGTTGTTTACTTAGGTTTTTAGTGAAATATCCTTTATTAAAAATTCTCTACAAAGTCTCATTTTTAAAAATTTTGTTTGTTTTTTTGAGACAGGGCCTTTAGTTCAGGCGTTCAGGCTGGCCTCACAACCACAACAATCCTGTATCAGCCTTTTGGGTGTTGGGATTACAGGCATGTGCCACAGCGCCTGTGTTTGAATACCCAACCTAAAAAAATCACCCCATTTGCCCCCTTGCTGTGCTGGGATTACAGACAGGTGTGCACCACCATGCCTGGCTTAACAGCCACCTTTTCTTGCAGTAATCTGTAAGGTCTTAAGTCCCAAGGCCAACATTGCTCAAAGGCCTGCCCCTTCCTGTGCTTCCCCCTGTGGCAGCCAAATTGGCCTCCCTGCAATTCCTTGAATCAGGGATCTAACATACAGCCAAGCAGCTCATTTCTCAGTATGCCATCTCTCAGTAAGGTCTTCTCCAGTCACCAAATTTAAAATGGCAGCCTCCCAACTCCCACTTCTTACTTCTCTATCCTCCTTCTCCACTTCCCTTTTCCTTTATAGTACTGATCACTTTGGAACGTATATTTGATTTACTTTCTATTTTTTCTTTTATGACAAAATTAACAGCTACATGAGGGCAGAAATTTCAATTTATTTTTCCAGCACCTAGAACAGTGCTGTGCACAAAGCAGATAAGCAGTAAATGTCTGAGGAATAAACTGAAGAGGCGAGATGTTTTGCGAAAATGCAACAAAAATAAGAATCCAAATCTCTACGGTTTCAGTCATTTTTCTCAGAATGGTGATGAACTCAAACTGAAACAATCACATCTTTTATTCAGTGGTAACCCAAAGCATAAGTGCAAGAAATGGTGATCTGTGATTAGGTAATAAAGTATTTAGAATAATTTGATGGTAAAGAATCAAATGTAAGGAAAATGCCTTAGTACCAAACAAAATTAAATAACTGCCTATAATAAGCAAGATTTGTTCTGCCTTATTTAAAACAATACTTAAAGGAAGGTACAAGTGACAGAAATGAAGCTGATATATACAATAGCAACAGAGTTCTATGAAACAGAGTTCTGTGGAAGAACACAAAGGAGATTCACATATTGCTGTATCAAGAATGTGGTTTATCATTATTTTTGAACTATGACCAAGAAAGAACACATCTCTCTATTCTGTAGATGAATAAAAATTTACTGTTAAAAATAGAATGAAGCTGTTGTTTCTGGAGAAAATTTTTTTAATTGGGTAGGTATACGGCATATGACAAAACTCCTAGAGACAGATAAGGAAATAAAGACTAGTAGTATATTACCACTACAAAGAAACAGTTTTGAGTATTTTGGAATATCTGTCATTTATAATATGTATAAATTTGTTAAAAAATTTAAAACTAATGGATTCAACTTTTTAAAATTCTTAATTGTAAGGAACACCTTACATAATAAATGGTATCTAAACCAGCTTTATCTCTGCTCCAAAGTACAAATGAAGTTCTGATTTTAGAGAGGAAAAAAATGCTTGAGTTATAATTTCAGTGCCTGTTGATATTTATAGCTATTAAGAGCAAAAGGCACTTTGCTAGTCTTTAAAATTCAAGAAATTAATGTAGGATAGTGACCTTTTAATTGTGGTACAGGAAAAAATGCAAGATGTGTTAACATGTTCCTGCTGGCTTGAACTACTGGTGGTACATGGACAACTGTACCACCCAATGGACTGTCCTATGCTGCCCTATGGGACAGTTATGGATGTACCACTGGTAGTTCAAGCCAGGGGAGAGATAACACATTCAAATCACAACCCTACTGTGAATATGTTAAGTAGGTATAGCTCTCAGTCTGCATGCTAACAAAATATAATAAAGCAATGGTCCTGTTTATAAAATAAAATTTACAGCTTTTATATGAAATTATTCATTAGCAAATAATTCCTGAGACACTGAAACACCACAATTTTTATTAAAATGTAATAGTATCAAAACTATTTAATAAATTTATATTCGATGTAACTAAGATAAACAAAGGACAAAATTAAAATATATATAGTAAAGAAACATGTGAACTGTT